CGGGGGAGAAACTCTCCTTGCCGCTGGCCGGCCGGTCAGCGGCACCCTTATGTGGCTAAGGACAGAACTAACACCCCCATCTCTGAGCCCCCAGAGTGCGCGAATGACAGTGTGTGCCGCTTACGAGCCTCACCACTCTCGTTCCCCTCTGTCACAGAGTTCTTGGATGACAGTGCGTGCCGCTTACGAGCCTCACCACTTGCGTCCCCCTCTATCGCCAGACCCCTGTCAGACAAGACCCCAGTGGAACACACGTCCTTCCCTGGTCTCCTCTGTCAGGACGTGGTCTATGATTGTGCTCCCACACAGGGACGCTATGCCTCCCCAGTCCGAACCAGTCATACCGCCTCGCTGTCTCACCGAGGGTACGTCTGTGACCCCGTACGTGACCCCATGACCCCGCTGGTACAGTTTCTGGGAACCTGGCTTCAGCTTCTCAAACTGTCCCGCTGGGTTGCCAGGACCATCAGTCTCGGCTATGCGATTCAGTTCGCACAATCTCCTCCCCACTTCCGGGGAGTCCGCTACTCTGTGGTCAGTGGCAATGCTCCTGTCATGCGTGCGGAAGTCGCAACCTTGTTGGCAAAAGGTGCGGTCGAGATTGTCCCTCCAGACGGAATGAAGTCCGGGTTCTACAGCCCCTACTTCATTGTACCGAAGAAATCCGGTGGGTTACGGCCAATCTTGGACCTGCGCGTTTTGAACCGATCCCTTCACAGGCTTCCGTTCAAAATGCTCACGGCCAAACGCATTTTCGAATGTGTTCAGCCACAGGATTGGTTTACAGCGATCGACCTGAAGGACGCCTACTTTCATGTCTCCATTCTTCCTCCTTCCTCGACACAGACCGTTTCGTTGGTTTGCTTTAGAGGGGAAGGCATATCAGTACGTGGTTCTCCCCTTCGGGCTAGCCCTGTCTCCTCGCGTCTTTACGAAGGTCGTCGAGGCAGCCCTTGTGCCGCTTCGGCTACACGGGGTTCGCGTCCTGAACTATCTCGACGACTGGCTAATCCTAGCACACTCTCGAGACCAGGTTTGCGAACACAGGGACCTAGTGCTTCGGCACCTAGCTCGTCTGGGCCTTCACTGCTGACTTGCCTGCGTCAAATCCAGAGCAAGAGTGCGGTTCCACTGAAACTATTTCAGAGGCTCCTGGGGCATATTGCCCGAGGTGGGGATGGCAACAGGGCACGCTCCGAGTACCAGTTACTCCGACCTGCCGTCGAACCTTCACCCCATGGTTGAACCTCAGCTTCCTACGGGCCGGTGTGCCCCTAGATCGAGTTTCCAGGCATGTTGTTGTCTCAACAGATGCCTCCACCACGGGTTGGGGTGCCATGTGCAGTTGACATGCTGCCGCGGGCTCCTGGACAGGACCCCAGCGCCTTCTGCATGTCAATTGCCTCGAGTTGCTGGCAGTACAATTGGTTCTGCACCGCTTCCATGCATTGCTCTAAGACCAGCACGTACTAGTCCATCCAGACAATACCGCGTCAGTAGCGTACATCAACCGTCAGGGTGGTCTACGCTCCCCCCGTATGTCGCAACTCGCTCGCCACCTCCTCTTATGGAGTCAGAAGCATCTGAGGTCGCTTCATACTATTTACATTCCAGGAGACCTGAACTGTGCAGCCAACAAGCTCTCATGGATTCAGCCTCTCTCCGGCGAATGGCGACTCCATCCCCAGTCGGTTCAGCTGATTTGGGAACAGTTCGAGGGCGCTCAGGTAGATCTGTTTGCCTCCCACGACTCTTCCCATTGCAGCCTGTTTTATTCCCTGACCGAGGGCACGCTCGGCACGGATGCACTGGCGCTCAGCTGGCCGCAGGGCCTCCGCAAGTATGCGTTTCCCCCAGTGAGCCTTCTCGCACAGACCCTGTGCTAGATCAGGGAGGACGAGGAGCAGGTAATTTTGGTTGCGCCCCACTGGCCCACCCGGACCTGGTTCTTCGAACTTGTACTCCTCGCGACAGCACCTCCCTGGCCAATTCCTCTGAGGAAGGACCTCCTTTCTCAGGGACGCGGCACCCTATGGCACCCTCAACCCGATCTTTGGAACCTCCACGTGTGGCTCCTGGATGGGACGAGGTAGGTTTGAGTACCCTACCACCAGCGTTGGTGGCTACCATCACTTCCGTTAGACCATCGTCCACGAGACATGCCTAAGCGTTGAAGTGGAACCTCTTCGTCAACTGGTGCTCTTCTCACCGAGAAGACCCCACGATATGCCCGATCAGTGTCTTGCTTTCCTTCCTGCAAGAAGGGTTGGAGCGAAGGCTGTCTCCCTCCACCCTGAAAGTTTATGTTGCCGCTATCGCTGCACATCATGTTGCAGTTGAGGGTAAGTCCATTGGGAAGCACGACCTGGTCATCAGGTTCCTGAGAGGAGAGAGGAGACTGAATTCTCCTCGTCCTCCTCTCGTAACCTTTTGGGACCTCTCAGTGGTTTTAACTGCCCTGCGGAGTGCTCCCTTCGAGCCCTTGCAATCAGTGGAGCTTAAGTACCTGTCGATGAAGACAGCGCTCCTGGTTGCATTGGCCTCCGTCAAGAGGGTAGGGGACCTGCAGGCATTTTCCATTGACGAAGCGTGCCTGGAATTCGGGCCGGCTAACTCTCACATGATCCTGAGACCCTGGCCTGGATATGTGCCCAAGGTTCCTACCACTCCCTTTCAGGACCAGGTGGTGAACCTGCAAGCGCTGCCCTCGGAAGAGGCAGACCCAGCCTTGGCACTGATCTGTCCAGTACGCGCTCTCCGTGCTTACGTAGACAGGACGCAGTGTTTCAGGCTCTTTGTCTGTCATGGTGGGAAGCTGAAGGGAAAGGCTCTCTCCATGCAAAGGTTGTCTCACTGGATAGTGGACGCCATATCTTTGGCATATCAGCAGCAAGGTCGACCGTGCCCCCTTGGTGTGAAAGCCCACTCCACCCGGAGTGTGGCTTTCTCTTGGGCTCTAGCGCATGGCGCCTCGCTAACAGACATCTGCAGAGCTGCAGGCTGGGCGACACCTAACACATTCGCGAGATTCTATAATCTCCGAGTGGAGCCAGTGTCCTCTCGTGTACTCGCTTCAACTAGCCAGTAACCAGAATACGCTCAGGTGTCTTCGCTTGCTCGCCATTCCACTCCACGAACTGGATACGTGCGATATTCTCCTCAGATGAGTTTCCCCGAGAAGCCCTGAGTTCCTCCCCCACTGTTGACATCAACGCCAAGGTTATGCCCCCGGCAGCTTTCGCAGTTGGCTAGGTGCCTCCTTGTGCATGGTTCCCCCGCTGGGTGACCCCCACATGTGTATTTCCACTGTAAGCCTCCTTGAGCATGTGTCTTTCCCTTGGCAAGCCCCTTGCCACCCCTGGAGTTGAAAGATTCCACCCTACGGGCTGGACACTCCAGTGTTCTTCCGTATGCTACCCTCTCTCGGGCCATCCGTGTATTCCTAAGACCTCCCTTCGGGCAGGCATGGTTTGCATATTTCCACTGAGAAATGCTCCCTAGTGTACCTTGGTATTCCTGTGTTAAGTGGGAGTCCTTCGTCCGTGCCAGTCTCACGACAGGGAGCTCACATTTACGCAGGGCACTGGAAGACAGCCGAGAGGTGGCGTGATTAGACTGGTACCCCCATTTCGTCGTCATTTCGACGTAACTCGAAGTGACTACGAAAGGGAACGTCTCGGTTACGTATGTAACCCTCGTTCCCTGAGTAGGGAACGGAGACGTTACGTCTTCCTGCCACTTCCGCTGTTCCGCTGGAACGCCGAGCTCAGTCTTGGCACCTCAGCAGGGAAACATGTCTGCATTCTGCCAGCGTTCTTCCTTATATACCCACAATGTGGGGCGGAGTTACGCTATACAAATTCCACAGACCCATGGCATTTCTTTGCCATTGGCTCGTTTTTTAACACTCGAAGGTGATAGGCTTCTAAGCGAAACCCCCATTTCGTCGTCATTTCGACGTAACGTCTCCGTTCCCTACTCAGGGAACGAGGGTTACATACGTAACCGAGACGATTTTGTTACACAACTTTTGGGTCTGCTAAAAATGGTGTACTATAGGACTAGACTGAATTTCATCTGAAAAAAAAACTCAACAGTTAAAGGGACAGTTTACCCAAAAATGAAAGTTTTGTCATCATTTGCTCACCTTCATGGCGTTCCAAACCTGCATTACTTTCTTGATATTTATTAATTTAGCAGATGCTTTTATCTAAAGCGATATACATATTAGGAATACAACAAGTAATTCATCTTAAAGTGGAAATAAACACAAATCATTCAGAATAGTACAAGTATTTTCTTCTGTGGAACACATAAGAGGACGTTTTGAAAAATGTATATGGAAGCTTTAGCGTTAAGTTCTGCCGGGAAGACTCAATTGCTACGTCACTTATTACCTTCTCATCTATCCAATCGTGTCTAATACTTGCGGTATAAAAGACCAGTACTTACACATGTCTGAGTTCGCAGATGCTGACGCTTTCATTCACCTCCATCCTCCCCACCACCACCAGGATGGTCCCTTCCCCTCCATCCTCCCCACCACCACCAGGATGGTCCCTTCCTATACCTCACAGGGGGTCGGCTGCGCCCCTGCCTTCGTCTTCAGGCAGGAAATGCAGAGTCCGGACCCTCGGATTGCGAGCTATGGACGGGGCCTACGCCAAAGAACTTTATTGCTTGCTGGGCTATCAATAAATGTATTTATTGTTACAGTATTTATTCTCCCGAGTCTTTCTGGTAGAACTGTTTTTTGTCTAAAGTCTAAGGGGTCCAGTGTTGTTGGACCCCAACGTTCTTCAAAATATCTTTTGAGTTCCACAGAAGAAAGAAATTCATACAGGTTTAACATGAGGGTGAGTAAATGATGACAGTATTTTCATTTTTGGGTGATTTACCCCTTTAAGAGATACAGTATAGTAACAATCAACAAATGAGCTTTGGCTTTGAGTTGCTCCACAGGTGTTTGTCAAAGAGCCATAAATGACAGCAGTCTCCGCTGAAGGAAGTAGTGTATACTACTTTTAATTTCTGTAATTACATAAGTGTCAGATGGTTGAGACATATCATTCACTACACAGTAGCATCTTGGAATGGAGTCTCTGCGATCCGGTGGTCAGAAAGTGTAATCGAGACCCCACAACATGACTGTGTATTTTGACCCTTGAGCATCAGGATTGGACTTGACCCAGTCTGATTGTAGGAAGATCCAACTACGACCACTAGAGGCTCTATTGATCTCTCAATGTTACAGGAAGTTCTCATTCACAACATTACTTGAGCCTTGTCAACACAACCAGGAAAGGACAACAAGGCGGATGGAGCATCAGAGGAAGAGCACATGAAAGCGAAAACACTGTTGCTGCATACAGAATGGTAGAAAACAGGTCCATTGACGAATTCGCACATTGCTTTCTCCATTCACTTTCAAACCCCATCCTGGATCCCGCCATTATACTTCCGAGTGCAGACCTTGTTGTGAGAAGCTCTCGTTAGGGGGTAGAGCCCCATCCTGCAAGGAACACAGCGATTAGATCTCTCTCAAAAGCACCGGCCTCACTGGTCTGAGGTATCCGTCTGCACACCGTCAGTCTCACCTTTTAATGCGGCCGATCTGCTCGCACAAGAAGGACAGGTACTGAGTGAGCTTGACCATTCCGATGATGAGCGTGCCCCCCACCAGCGTGCACGTGGGCCAGAGGAGGGAGCTAATGATGGCCCCGCGGCCATAGAGACGTGTCAGGAGGACGCTGTCCTGCTGCTCTGAGGGGTCGTAGTAACACAAAACCTGTGTGTGCGTCTTCAGTCGCTCGGAGATGTTCATCACAATAGTGTGCATCAGCGTGTGATTCTTGCGGCACTTTGGGATGTAAAAACACTGATGGGAAAGAAAGAAATGCATTTACTTGAAACAATTCAGTTCAGCCCAGTTCAATTTGTGTACTACATTTATCATGCTGAGAAAGTACACTGTCATATCTTCTTGGGGATAAATTGTGATTTGATCATTTTACCCTGCATCCTAAATATGTGAGATTAGAATAAGTATGTCCCAAAGCAAAGTATGTTGGAAAGACTATGCGAAAAGGCCCCATGGATGGTCTACCATTTCCGGTAGATTTTCAATAAGTGTGGATCTGTGCACACTAATGGCTAATATTCCCCACAACACATTGTGTTTTGGGGAAGAATTCAGGTCAGAAATACAAACGTGAATAGAAAAGACATGCCGGATGTGTGTGAGACCAACGCCCTGAAAGGGGTTTGAGTTATTAATAATCAATATATAACCTGGTGAAATTTTGTTATTTATGTTATATTCCATCTGCAACAACATTAGGGGATTTGGCACCGGGTAGCTATAACTCAGTTATAGGAACTAGCCACCAATGGTGTGAAAGCCCCTATTGTGAAATTTTATAAAGGTACAAATAGAACATTAGTTAAATGGATATGTTTGGCCATTATATTAAATGTATCAAAATGCATAAATGATTTGCAATGTTCTCCGCATGAAAGACCCTCAACAAAAGCTTGCCTTCTGCTACTCTCAAACGTATCTACTTTTTATTCACAAAACGAGTAAATACTTTTGGCGTGTAATAGAAGTAGGCAAATTGGGAGGCAGCATTAGATAATTACATTAAAATGGCATTAACTGATGATTTGTAAGGTTCAGTACTAGTTTATCCATATATAAGCTAAGAGAAGTCAGGATTGATGTCAAAGAGCACCTTACCCATTTACTTTTCTTGGTTAAATTCACAAGGACTTCTGATCAAGTTACAAATATCAGGGTGATGCAGTTGCTTATCTTAACAAAGAAATAAGCATCAATATTATTAATTAAACATTATTATTGTTATTATTGTATTAAGTAGTTTGTTATAATCTTTTATTTATTTTAAAACTTTTTTTTTAAATAATAGAGATGTGTGCTCTTGCATGTTTCATAATGTGTAAGGCCACAATATGTTGGTTGATGGTACTTAATGATCACATCAGATTTTTACACATTTTTATAAACATGCAAAGAATACATTTCAATAATTTGAAACTCTTACTGACCGGTATACCTTTTGAGGCTACCAGTGACAAGGTGCTGTACACTTTAACAGTGTTTTTTATGTGCTATTTTTTTTTGACATTGTGGTTTGTACACAATGTTTTGTTTGAGTAACCTAAACAATATATTTATTTGGTAACTTATCTAAATAAACTGGTTTTATTCAAGGACAATCAGCCTGACCACATTGGGTTACGCCAACAAATTTTTTTAAATTCAAATTAGGTAAATAGATACTTTAGACAAATGTGTGCTTTTACAACATAGTGTCACAGAAGAACTGCCCATGCAGGATAATGTGATATATCCCTATAGTTAATGACTAGAGGTGCTGTACCTCAGGGTTGGCCTCATAGGCCTCCTCGTTGTATGACAGTCGCAGAACTTTCCCGGTGGAGTTCAGACTGACGTATACCTGAAGACAGGGATACCTGGAGCTCTTCCGGCACTCTGAGCCGCAACTGTAGCTGCAGTTAATCTCAGCATCTATACCGGAGTTCAGTACTGTGCAGTTTGACTCCTCTGTCCAAACGCTGAGAGAGAATAAATAGGGACAGAAGTGGAAAAAAGTCCAGAAATCATTTGTAATTGCATTAAATGCATTTATCACACAGGATGTGCCAAGACAGGATGTCTTCATATGTTCGAAGACCTTAATTAGCTAGTTCAAGTGTGTTTGACTACAGTTGAAATGAAACGGAAAGGGAGGTAGATCTCCAGGAGAAGGATGGAGCACACTTGACTTAATGTGAACCTTAACCTGTGGAGAGTTGTGACCGGTGAAAGGTGAGTTGTTAAATGGCATATCTGAGTTAAAGTCACCATTCCATCAAAGCAGGCAATATTTCCAGACGGAAATGCTACTAAAATGGACACAGCTGTCAAAGTCTTCACGGTTTTGCTAATATACTTTTAAACATGTAAACTGCCCTTTGCAACAAGTTCTGTAGTTAAAGCTGCTTTTATATTTAGCTGTTTCACATTAAGCACAGTATTTGAACACCAGGGACACCCTTTGCACTAGGGTACATATTGGTGATTTGGCTGAATTTGGCCCTCTGATGTGGCGGCCGATTGCATGTTAGTAGTTGTCTTTGTGCCAGGGCTCTTGTCTCCTACTCTATGAATAACAGGCCTTGTGTTCTTTGGCTGTTCCAAAGGCTCAGCTGCCTCTAATTGCCTTTGACTGCAGTGTGTGCCAGCTCTTATCTGTGTGCAATCTATCGTAGGTCAGTGGTATTTGGAAGATTAAGTTGTAATGTTAGCCAATCTGCAATTTACGGTCAAACAAGGATGGAATCTGTTAATGCGTGGTATCAGGGTGGACAGTAGAATTAGTGTTTTACTCATTGATGGTCAACATTTCATAACCAGCTGAGGAGAACAATATCATTTTAACTCAACTTTTGAATGGGGATAAATTACTGAGTGTACCTTTAATTCTATGGTTTCAATGTACTTTTGTACAGTTTTGTTCCTGTGAGGGTGTCTGGTTATTTTTACCTGTCTGAGTAAGAGCGCACCATTGTGATGCCCAACACAAAGTACATCATGGCAGAGCAAAGGATCATGCTGAGGCCTAAGAGAATGGCTCTGTCCTCTCCAGCCTTCAGCGCTGTGACCGTCCTCCTCTTCTCCAAAATATCATACCCACGAATCTTCTGATAAATGGTCCTGCTTAAATTACATAACATAAGAGTCACAAGACACAAGGATTAATGAAGACTAGGTCTGTGCCAAACCTAATGTAACAAAATGTTGCTTCAAGAATCATTTTACTGGTCCTTATCACTTAAAAAAGGTTGGAGGGCCAGAATGAATTAGGTTTGGTTCAGAAACTTAGCCCATGACACAGATACGTGCTACTGTCCTATTACATATGCATAGTTAGTTCCTTTCCAAATATTTAGCTCATGATTCTTTAATCATGTTTTGACAGCAGTCATTGCTTTTGAAGATTATGCATGGGTGTGAAGGCAAGCTGTCTAACCTGTCTATCTTTATCAGTGACCTTTTGATAATTACTGTGAGTACAGTGGTCAAAAGCGTTACAAAGTCATAATAACACACTTCCTGTCATCAGTTTACGTCAGAATCCAAGATTAGTTTGATTATTAAAATGTATGTTTTCTGCTAAATCAGTGCAAAACAGAAGTTAAACGTGATAAATAATGGTGAGTGAATTTCTTTGCATTAAATAAACTATGATGTATTGGTTCTAATGTATTCTTTTCATAAATGTTGCACATTTTCTAGGGATGCAATTGTTGGTAAATATTAGTTGTTGTTTAATAATTAATAATTATTTGTATTATTATTGTTGCTGTTGTTGTAAATGTATCAGTCACTATTTAATTGTGCATGTAAATTTTTTTTAATGTTTTTTTTTTCATTTATATTGCTTTTGTGACGACATCCATTATTCACTTATAGTTAATATTTAAGTAACACTTTTAAACAATTGACTTTAGGTTTTAGTTTTATTGTTTTACTTTTTTTAGACACATTTTTAGATCAGCCATTTATCGGTTATCGGCTGTAAAATGAAATAATTTAATATCTACACATTTTTAAGTAAAAAAAAATATATTTATAATATAATATATTATGATATACATTTATAATCAGAATTGAAGTGTTTTTTCCTAATTATTTGTATAATATTTTTTCACTCTGTACTTAAAATCAACATGAAATCAAACATGCAACCTCCTGTCCTCACAGAGACTCTAGATAATTAAAGGTTAGCATAGTGTTGTCACATGTGGTTTAGTTAGCTAGTTGAGTCATTGTACTTTACCTTCTCTCACTTCCAGATCCTTGAGCTCCTTTGCTTCCAGCCCACAGAAACATTCTCCCAGCTATTCCACTGTGTGCAGCTCTCTCCGAAGCACTCGCAAAAGACTGCAGGGACGACCTGATGGAAAAAACACACTCTTAGTTGACCATGTGCTTCCCTCCACACCGGTTCATCTGCACACTGTTCCTGAACGAAAAGCTGGGTCTTATATTTATAACACAGCCTTCGGAGAATGTTCTGGCTTCCCCACTGAGTTTCAGCTCCTCACAGGTTGGTGAAATTTTACAACTGCAGTATTAAACCAATGGCTCCATGGTTGTTGATAAACATAGTAAGTCCAAAAAGAGAATCCAAATAGAGGAAAAGTAAGTTTCTATAATCCTCAGCAACGAAATAAGTCCGTCTCACATGGTAAGAACCAGTTCTCCATAAAAATAACTCACACCAGGCATTGAACTAAGCATCTTCTCCTTCATTTTCTGCCTGTTGGTTTGTTATTGACTATTCATGGGCTATAATAATGAGAGTAGTGAGCAAGGAGAGGAGGACCATTCACGGCATTGATCCCTTCCTCCTGCCATGGCGGAGAGAGTGAGTGAGAGAGAGAGGAAAGGGAGAGGCAGTGGCGTTCAAAGCCGCCTCCTCCCCTGCACGCTGTTGATGATTGGTATTGATGGAGAGTCCTGTAGCATCAAGGTGACACAGGTGTTTTGGGCCACACGTTTGTGACTGACTGACTGCACACTCCTGCCCTCATATGCTATCCAGTCCATGGCTCATGTGTGTCGTTGAATGTACCCAGAGTCTAACAAGCGTTTAACTGGAAATATAAATGTGATTCGAAGAACTGAGCTTGTGAAGAGCTGATGTTATAGTCCAGCACATGTTGGGATCTGGTCTCTATTGATTTTTAATTCACTCAAAAGATACAATTCTGTTTGCTTAGCCTCATGTCGTTCCAAAACCATATTTTTTGTTTCACTGTATGACTGTTTCCACTGTATTTTTGATCAAATACATGCAGCCTTTGAAAGCATTATATATGAGTGCAGCTGCTTGACAATTCTTCAGGATATTAATTTTTGGACAACTTATTCTTTTAAATCATCACTTGGTCAAAAAGTGAACTATATGTTCCTGCATTCACAGCAGTTGTGTTTCCTGTGTGACCTGGAACAGCCTTGTAAGACTGTATAATGTTTTACTTCTTTTACTTTTTTACTTACTGTGTTCCTTTTGTTTTGCAAAACATTTTTACTTGTAAATGAAGATAAAATAATGAAAAAAATTACGGGTAGTAGTAATAAGAATAATGGTAATATAGTATCATTTAATCTTGGCTAATTATTTATCATATAAGTGCTTAGTGAAATATTAAAGTGAAGGCAGTGCATGAAGTGTGCTTTCACTGTACAGTACTAGTCAGTATTTTAGATTATTACATGAGGTAAAATGAAAGAAAAGGTGGATTTTTAGATGGGTCAAAATGGGAACAGTGATATAGTCTAGTTTTCTATTATGTGGATTTATTTACTTTATCAATATTGTGACCACATTAGTGTGACTAAATTATTTTAAAAATAAAACATTTGAGACTACTTTTATGAATTCACTGATGTATTTCAACAGGTCACGCAAGCACATTGAAACATTTACTTACTTTGTAAATGAATTAAGATATTGATCACTCTTTTTTTGTAGCCTACTAGCCTAAAACGTAATAATAATAATATTTATTTATAGAGCACGTTTAAAAACAGCCAGGGCTGACCAAAGTGCTGTACAAAGCAGAAAAAATAATGTCATGTCAAAACGTACCATGTCAAAACAAATTGTAGTACTGTGGTAAACTGTGGTATGTTTTATTAGCGCTCAGTTGACTGACTGCAGCAATTTCCACTCTCTGCCTGACCTGCCCTCAAAGGTGCACTGCAACATTTTATCTCAAATGAAAGTCTGAAAAGCAACAGTGAGCAAATCTCTGCTCTGCAGTGGAGAGCTGTAAACGTCAATGATGGGAATATTCCACATATCATATTTGTGCATGTTGACTCTCTTTCCTATGCTGAGTGAGGCGGGACACAGGATGATGAACTAGATATGAGGCTGAGGCAGACAGGAAACACTGACCCAAGGAAACCCATTGTCCCCACCTCACCCAATAAAACACCTGCTAAAAAATCCCAGGGCAAAATAGCACTAGGATAATTTTTTTGTATTTTTCATATGGCTGTCTTTAAAAAGCTTGGTATGTCCTGGACAGTTGTTGGTATTTGACCTTCCGGTCACCTTAGCTGGGTAAGTAATGCCTTACAGGGGCCTTTTTTGTTGCAAAAAACACAGACATCTGGCATTCACCCAAAACAGCAGGAATGTTCATCCAATGTGTCCACGCATGATGGGATTTACTAAACCCATATTGTCACCGCAGTGATTTATGAGGCATTGTTGATACTCTACATTAGTTTGGTTGGAATAAAATCAGAAAGAACAGGCTGGCTCAAGCAGTGTTGGAGAGCAAATAACTAAAAGTTGTGATTTTTCAGTATGTTGATAAAAGTTTACCGGTTTTCAAAACAGAAGTTTGTCTAGTAACAAACTACTCCCAATAGCAATGTAGGATTTTTTATATTGTATGTGGAGGTCCTATGCTATAGTGAATCTGTTTGCTCAGAAAATGATTTTCTGAATTCCCGAAGTCCCTGTGCTGCTTTGTATTTATCTTTTTTGCAGCGCAATATTTAGTCAAACACTGCTATTTATGACGTTTCATTGAATTCTAGTTGTATTTTTAGGTATGGGGAATTTGTTCAGAAAATGATTCACTGAATCAAGCATTTGCGCTTTTTTATAGCAAAATATTTAGTTAAACATTGCTATTTGTAACTGTTTTCATCTCAATTAAAATGTTTATGAAATTATTTTTTTAGTCATTTATAAATTGGTTCGTTAGTGAATCAGTCTTGAAAATGAGATCAAATGAGATTATTATTCACTGAATCAGGTGCCATTGCAGCATTTAGGTCTTTTTGTAGCTAAATATTTAGTTAAAAGTTGCTAAATTTTTTTGCTGTTTTCATCTCAATTAAACATGTTTACAAGAATGATTCTATTTTTTTTTAGTTGGTTCACTAATGAATCAGTTTGTTCAGAAAATGATTCACTGATTCAGGTGCCTTTTGAAGAATTAAGTTTTATAGCATTTAGTTATAAATATTTAGTTAAACACTGCTACTGCTTTTCATCTCAATTATATTTAGTTTACATAAATAATTGTAGTTTTTAGTAGTTATTTATTAATTGGTTTGATAATGAATTAGCTTAGATTAGAATCACTTATTCAAGTCCGTGCGACACATTTAAGGATTTTTATATTTTATGAGATGATATTTTTAAGCCATTTAGCATGGTAGAGCAATATGTGAATGTGTTGTTTGAGGGTGGGCTGCTCCTCTGCCTTTAGCTAAATGACTTGCTAATGCTGCCTTCTGGAGGCCTGACATATGAAAATGATAAATAATTATTGCTCTTTCACTTCACAACTGCCTGGATGAAGCCCAGGTGTCTCAGTGCTAAACAACTACAACTAAAACCAGAATTAAAGCACTTTATTCAATTGCTTTCTTCTATTTATAGCAAACATTTTACAAATGCGTTTCAAACAGTTATTTCTAAATCTTTAAGGTGGTATTATAGGGCTTAATTTCCTTCATTACCATTAAGAGAATGAGCGGTACTGTCCAAGTTGCTTTTTTGTGTGTTGTGTATCATTCTCCATGTTGCATTCATTAGCAAAATGATCTCTGTTCACCCTTGTTATTTAACACACAATTACACACCTAATGTTGCATGAAATTATGGCTCTAATGACAAAAACAGAGGTAAACTCCAAAGGACGACGTTACCGATAAGGTTAAAGACAAGCTAAATTAAATGTTCAGAGTTGACTGAAACAATGTGTCAGTCATCAAGCCCATGTAGATATGCCATAATTTGTTAAATTAAGATCGGAAAGACAATAATAACATAAACTAATATAGAGTATTTTCAGCTAAATGTGTATTTGTATATACTGTGTGTGGAGTGACAGGATCATCTAAATTCCTATTATACACCTCTATGGAATACTCTTCTGATTGCGACATTCAGCAGTGTAATATTTCCAAATATTCACCTTCGTCCATGGCAACGCTGGATATCAGGCTCATTTCTCTCGTATCACACTAACGCAGCTGGTGCCTTCTTGCGTCTCAGTTATCGATTGCTGAACTTCAGAATTGTATTACTGTAATATTACTGCAATGTTCGTGTTGATAGGCAGATTTGTATGGGTCCTGATCATGCTTATTGGGGTTAATTTTTGAGATAATGACTTGACTTATTATAAAATACAATCAAATGTATTTTAATGGTGCATTCTGGGAGGGATCAAACTCATTTTAAAGTTAGCAAATCAGTCACATTCTTTTGTGTTGATGTTTAGAAACTAAATTAGGTTGAAGGATCGCGACCCAAACATGTCAAAAAATCACGGCTGGTTAATCATTGGCCATTTACAGGGTTGGATAGATCTCTGTTTGTGCTGAAAACTCCATTCAGTTATTGTTTCAGATCTTGACAACTGTGTTTCTTTTTGTGCTAATTTACTGCTCTCATCAAGCAAACATAATTATCTTTTAATGGAGCATTTTCAGGTCTATTACTCTAATGAGATTTTTATTTTGGAATCTTTCAGTGCTGCTGGCCAGAATACGAACGTTGGAATATAAATATGCTTTACTTTGCACAGCAGATGCGAATACATGCAGACGAACTGGAGAGATAGTCAGGGATAGCGACAAGTGATTGATGAAGGCAACTAAAAAACGAACAACATCACGTTACTCCTCAAACTGTGTAAGTTTATGACATAAATATGTGATTGTGAACTGAATCCAAAAAACCTAGGCTTTATGGAAACAACTTTCGCTTGCTATAACAAGATTTGGTGACTATCCAAAGCACCCAAGTCTATTTATAAAGCTGAATGAATAATTTACTACATGTAAATGGCTCCTGAGGAAATTCCCTCACCATTTACATTAAGAACTACCAGGGATATAAAGATGTTTTATATG